TGTAATGTAAAATTTACTACATTAATAAATACATTATTTATTTATTTATTATAATTTAATAGGAAATTTCAGAAGTTGTTGGAATTGAAATGTGTGTGAAACGAATAACAAATAGACAAAAGTGTCGACCAAATCCAAATTCACACTTAAATATAGAAGATTTTTATAAAGTTACGGTGTTTATACTATACTTTTTTAATTTTATTAATAATAACTGTATTATTATATTAATAACTTTATTATTTTATTAATCAGTTACAGGAACGTTTTCTGTCCCATTCAGAAATGTTCGAAGATTAGTTTTTCAAATTTMAGGTAAATTACTGGATATTAAAATGCTTTTTTTAGGATTTCAATGTCTGTTTTCTGCTGAAATTTCATCTACTGATGAAATATCATTCAAGAAATTAATCGATTTCTATTCTACAAAACTGAATGTAGTTAATTCAGTTGCTGAACTTAAGTTATGGAGTAGAAAACTAAAAGAATTAAAAAAATTAGATATCAATCCTAAAACTGGAATTTAAGCTTTAAAACTGTGTAACATTGATATTTACCCTAATATACATTTTTTATTAAAAATTGAATGCACACTCCCTGTATCTACTTCAACACCTGAAAGAGCATTCTCAAGTTTAAAGAAAATTAAAACATACCTTAGAAATAGTATGACAGAGGTGACACATTATTTTAAACTAAAATTCAATAATTACTATAATCATTGATTATCATGTTATTTATTATTTAATTTGTATAATCGTCTACATTATACGTTACATAATTAAATTGAAGTAGAACATGAGGAAATACTTGACAWATTGGCGTGAAAACCAAGAAAATTGGAAATTTTGTTATAATGATATAGTCTTAATTTGTTGATAATATAATTTAATAAATGTATTTAAAAAAATGGTTTGTTTAATATTATTTAATTTTACAATCCGTTATGTTAAAAAATAAATTAGTGGTAAGATCGTGAAGGGGTGTGGGGGGGGGCGAAACCCCCCACTGTTTTATGGTTACAAAATATTCATATCCCTTCCCATAAAACATTTATAATTACGCCACTGAACACTATAGACATGTACTTATTCTGTCCAACGAATCCTTGTCCAAATCAAATGAGACAAATTTGAGATTTTTTACGAACGAACCATTTCTCGTAATTTCACGCTGTTTTTCTCGCAATAAATATTCCATTCCTAAAATTATTTATTTGATCAGAGTATGTAAGCTTTCTTATTGAGAACTAATTTGTTCTTGTTGAGTACTAATTTGTTTCAGCTAATAACAAAATGTTATAAACAATATTGTTATCTCAGCACTTCGCATCCAATTTGTATATATACACGGCTATATAATTCAAATCAAATTTCTGGGTCGAATAAATGTTTATTTATAATTTACTCAGTGTGATAATTTAAAAGTATCTACATATTATAGGCGATATAACCATTATTTTTTTTATTTGAATTAAGCCTCGGCAACTATGGCCATTGGCAACAATGGGTTTAACTCTAAATTATTTACAATAAGTTACATATAACCATTATTAATGAGTATTGAATTAGTATAATATTCCTTTGTCTAATAAATTATTTGAATACTATGTGACAGGAAAACTGAGTTTTTTTGGGTAAATTTTAATCTCCATTAGAATATTAACAMAACAGTAAAAAATATGTTTGCCACTATGTATATTAACTATCAAGTATCAACTAATGTTGTATCGTGTTATAATGTAAATAATACTTTATCARTTTACATATAAAATATTATTATTCAAAATTRCATTCAATTCCATTATTTATAATATACATTTATGATACGGGATTATAGATAATATATAYGGGATTAACAGAGTTATTAAAATATGATTAATCTATAAGTCATACCATATTATATATAGGTGTTGGAGTTATACCTTTAAAATAAAATTATCTGTAATAATTACTTTGTAATCTAAACTTATAATAGCTATTAGGTAGCTATTCAATCGTGAGAAATGTCAAATTATAGTAATTTGAAGCAAAAAGCTTTTGAATAAAATGTCTC